GGAAAGTGGTGTTTGAGGAAAACCATATGACATTTAAAAAAACACACACATATCTTTCCACAGGGCCGTGGGGTGAGACAGGGATGCAGTTTAAGCCCCATCCTCTTCAACATATATATCAACGAATTGGCGAGGGCACTAGAACAGTCTGCAGCACCCGGCCTCACCCTACTAGAATCTGAAGTCAAATGTCTACTGTTTGCTGATGATCTGGTGCTTCTGTCCCCAACCAAGGAAGACCTACAGCAGCACCTAGATCTTCTGCACATATTCTGTCAGACCTGGGCCCTGACAGTAAATCTCAGTTAAAAAAAAGGTCCAGTTGCCAGGACCACAAATACAAATTCCATATAGACATCGTTGCCCTAGAGCACACAAAAAACTATACATACCTCGGCCTAAACATCAGCGCCACAGGTAACTTCCACAAAGCTGTGAATGATCTGAGAGACAAGGCAAGAAGGGCCTTCTATGCCATCAAAAGGAACATAAAATTCGACACACCAATTAGGATCTGGCTAAAAATACTTGAATCAGTTACAGAACCTATTGCCCTTTATGGTTCTGAGGTCTGGGGTCCGCTCACCAACCAAGAATTCACAAAATGGGACAAACACCAAATTGAGACTCTGCATGCAGAATTCCCGCAAAAATGTCCTCTGTGTACAATGTAAAACACAAAATAATGCATGCAGAACAGAATTAGGCCGATACCCACTAATTATAAAAATCCAGAACACAGATGTTAAATTCTACAACCACCTAAAAGGAAGCGATTCCCAAACCTTCCATAACAAAGCCATCACCTACAGAGAGATGAACCTGGAGAAGAGTCCCCTAAGCAAGCTGGTCCTGGGGCTCTGTTCACAAACACAAACAGACCCCACAGAGCCCAGGACAGCAACACAATTAGACCCAAACAAATCATGAGAAAACAAAAAGATAATTACTTGACACATTAGAGAGAATTTACACAAAAAATTAGCAAACTAGAATGCTATTTGGCTCTAAACAGAGAGTACACAGTGGCAGAATACCTGACCACTGTGACTGACCCAAACTTAAGGAAATCTTTGACTATGTACAGACTCAGTGAGCATAGCCTTGCTATTGAGAAAGGCCACCGTAGGCAGACCTGGCTCTCAAGAGAAGACAGGCTATGTGCACACTGCCCACAAAATGAGGTGGAAACTGAGCTGCACTTCCTAACTTCCTGCCAAATGTATGACCATATTAGAGACACATATTTCCCTCAGATTACACAGACCCACAAAGTATTCGAAAACAAATCCAATTTGGATAAACTCCCATATCTATTGGGTGAAATACCACAGTGTGCAATCACAGCAGCAAGATGTGTGACCTGTTGCCACAAGAAAAGGGCAACCAGTGAAGAACAAACACCACTGTAAATACAACCTATATTTATGTTTATTTATTTTCCTTTTTGTACTTTAACTATTTGCACACCATTACAACACTGTATATAGACATAATATGACATCTGAAATGTCTTTATTCTTTTGGAACTTTTGTGAGTGTAATGTTTACTGTTAATTTTATATTGTTTATTTCACTATTGTTTATTATCTACTTCACTTGCTTTGGCAATGTTAACATATGTTTCCCATGCCAATAAAGCCCTTAAATTGAATTGAAATTGAATTGAATTGAGAGAGAAAGGAAATATCTAGTAACATTGGGTTTGCAAACCATTCTCACTATTTCCATTCCTACAGAGCCTCAGAAAGTATTCATACCTCTTGACTTAATCCACATTTTGTTGTGTTACAACCTGAATCAAAAATGGATTAAATATAAAAAATATCTCACCCAACAAAATACCCCATAATGACAAAGTGAAAACATGTTCCTATAACTTTTTAAATATTAATAATAATATAATAAATATAAATAATGTTTTTAAATTAAATTTTCAATAAGAATTCACAACACTGAGTCAGTACTTTGTAGAATCACGTTTGGCAGCGATTGCAGTGTTTCTGAGTAAGTCTCTAGAACGTTCCACACCTGGATTGTGCAACATTTGCCCACTGTTCTTTTCAAGATTCTTCCATCTCTGTCAAATTGGTTGTGGATCATTGCCAGACAACCATTTTCAGGTCTTGCCATAGATTTTCAAGTAGATTCAAGTCAAAACTGTAACTCGGCCACTCCGGAACATTCACTGTCTTCTTGGTAAGCAACTCCAGTGTAGATTTTGCCTTGTGTTTTAGGTTATTGTCCTGCTGAAAGGTGAATTCATCTCCCAGTGTCTGGTAGAAAGCAGACTGAACCAGGTTTTCCTCTAGGATTTTGCCTGTGCTTAGCTCCATTCCGTTTCTTTTTTAATCTGAAAAACTCCCCAGTCCTTAACGATTACAACCATACCCCATAACATGATGCAGCCACCACTCTGCTTGCAAATATGGAGAGTGGTACTCGGTAATTTGTTGTATTGGATTTATCCCAAACATAACACTTTGTATTCAGGACAAAAAGTGAATTGCTTTGCCACGTTTATTGCAGTTTTACTTTAGTGCCTTGTTGCAAACAGGATGCATGCTTTGGAAAATTTTCATTCTGTGCAGGCTTCCTTCTTCTCACTCTGTCAATTAGGCTAGTTTTGTGGAGTAACTACAATGTTGCTGATCCATCCTCAGTTGTCTCCTATCACAGCCATTAAACTCTGTAACTGTTTTAAAGTCACCATTGGCCTCATGGTGAAATCCCTGAGCTGTTTCCTTCCTCTCCAGCAACTGAGTTCGGAAGGACGCCTGTATCTTTGTAGTTACTAGGTGTATTGATACACCATCCAAACTGTAATTAATAACCATGCTCAAAGGGATGTTCAATGTTACCAATCTACCAATAGGTGCCCTTCTTTGCGAGGCGTTGGAAAACCTCCCTGGTCTTTGTGGTTGAATCTGTGTTTGAAATTCACTGATCGACTGAGGGACCTTACAGATAATTGTATGTGCCACAACCTTTTTATTTTCAAAGCCTTTTACATTTAATTCAGCTCATGTCATGCTAATTTTGCTTTTTTGCGACCCGCGAAGCAGCAATGCTCTGTCAACAGAGCTCGGTGATTATTATCGGATTTAGGTTTTGAAATCCGAATTTTTTGGATGTAATGTTAATGATGTTAGAGAAACACCCCACTGAATGATTCAGAATATGAAGAATCATATTTGTCTTGGTAAAATGGATTTTTTTTTAACATAAGGAAGTTAAATTTCAGCACCAAAGCGCGTTTTCACCCACTCTGGGTGTTGGTGGACTCCATCTTTCCCATCTAGACAGGGAATGACCTGGCGGAGTCTCTGACCAATCAGTGACATTAAATCAATGAATGAATTAACTAGCAGGGAGAAAATACAAGAAGTACGACAGGTCCCAAGGCTCAGCTAGATATGAGCCCCATCATGCCCTTTCACCGCTAACCTCTGACCCCTTACCTCTGAAGATCACACCGCACAGAGGGTCGCTAAGCCGTCCATCCTTTTCCCTCAGGTTGTCAGCCCGTTCGACAACACACCTCAACATGGTGTTACCCTGGCAACGCGCCCAACAACACACCCGGCGACGGCCCGAGCAACGATCCTAGTAATGATTGAAACCCAGGAAATGAAACTAGTACTGCTCCCCACAGACAAGAAGATTGTCTGAACATCTCACACAACTTCTCCAGAGTGTGTGTAGGTGTGTGAAGTAGTGTTGGGCACCAAGTCCAAATGATGAGCTATAGTCCAAATGATAAGCTATAGTCCAAATGATAAGCTATAGTCCAAATGATAAGCTATAGTCCAAATGATAAGCTATAGCCCAAATGATAAGCTATAGTCCAAATGATAAGCTATAGTCCAAATGATAAGCTATAGTCCAAATGATAAGCTATAGTCCAAATGATAAGCTATAGTCCAAATGATAAGCTATAGTCCAAATGATAAGCTATAGTCCAAATGATAAGCTATAGTCCAAATGATAAGCTATAGTCCAAATGATAAGCTATACTCCAAATGGTAAGATATAGTCCAAATGATAAGCTTTGGTCCAAATGATAAGCTATAGACCAAATGATAAGCTATAGTCCAAATGATAAGCTATAGTCCAAATGATAAGATATAGTCCAAATTATAAAATATAGTCTAAATGATAAGCTATAGTCCAAATGATAAGCTATAGTCCAAATGATAAGCTATAGTCCAAATGATGAGCTATAGTCCAAATGATAAGCTATAGTCCAAATGATAAGCTATAGTCCAAATGATAAGCTATAGTCCAAATGATAAGCTATAGTCCAAATGATAAGCTATAGTCCAAATGATAAGCTATAGTCCAAATGATAAGCTATAGTCCAAATGATAAGGTATAGTCCAAATGATAAACTATAGACCAAATGATAAGCTATAGTCCAAATGATAAGCTATAGTCCAAATGATAAGCTATAGACCAAATGATGAGCTATAGTCCAAATGATAAGCTATAGTCCAAATGATAAGCTATAGTCCAAATGATAAATTTTGGTCCAAATGATAAGCTATAGTCCAAATGATAAGCTATAGTCCAAATGATAAACTTTGGTCCAAATGATAAGCTATAGTCCAAATGATAAGCTATAGTCCAAATGATAAGGTATAGTCCAAATGATAAACTTTGGTCCAAATGATAAGCTATAGTCCAAATGATAAGCTATTGTCCAAAGTGTTGTAGCTAATAAGTAAAGTCCAAGATAAGTTGAAGTTGGAAGCGGCAGGTAGCTTAGTAGTTAAGAGTGTAGTGCCAGTAACCGAAAGGTCGCTGGTTCTAATCCCCGAGCCGACTAGGTGAAAAATCTGTCGATGTGCCCTTGAGCAAGGCACTTAACCCTAATTGCTCCTGTAAGTCGCTCTGGATAAGAGTGTCTGCTAAATGACGTAAAATGTAAGTTGAGTTTTTCTCTGGCTTCCCTAGTCGGAGTCAAGATATCTCCTTCTCCCTCTCTCACACACACACATTATCTTAGGACTACCCCCCAGCTCCAGGGTCACACCCTGCGGGCCCAAAGGAAATCTCTACATTTCCTCCTATCACTTTTTCCTCTCTCTTCCTCTTGCTCTTCCATAGCCTCAGTCAAGCAGTGGGCGCCACCTAGCTGCCTAAAAACTGCAACAGCAAACTAAAACAAACTGTCTTATTCCAGGCCAGCTTTTCCATGAGACGTGTCTAATGCTAAAGGCTAAGCTATTATGTTTGGTCAGAATAACCACAACAAGAGCATGTCATGACAGTACAGTGTGAAGATATGCAGAAACTGATTCTCCAATAGAAATCCCCCATCACGCTTGTAGGTGATGTCATGGCGACGGTGGCTAGCTAAAACCATAGATATCCTGTTAAACACTAGAGGGGAAATGTCATCAACCCTCAAAGTTCCAGAATGGGGGGGTGAAAATGGCAGCCATATTGGTCAGGGAGAAATCCAAACCAGTCTAATTGGAATCAATGATTTTACTAACGCAGGAAAATAAAAGGCATGTCATATATCAGAAATTGTGTAATAGAATCTAAAATATTGTCATATAATTATAAATACCATTTATATGGGTTCTATACCATTTATATGTAATAATATACACCTTCCCCCCCCCCCTTGCCCTCGGAACAGCCTCAATTCGTCGGGGCATGGACTCTACAAGGTGCTGAAAGCATTCCACAGGGATGCTGGCCCATGTTGACTAAAATGCTTCCTACAGTTGTGTCAAGTTGGCTGGATGTCCTTTGGGTGGTGGTCCATTCTTGATACACACGGGAAACTGTTGAGCGTGAAAAAACCCAGCAGCGTTGCAGTTCTTGACACAAACCGGTGCGCCTGGCACCTACTACCATACCCCGTTCAAAGGCACTGAAATCTTTTGTCTTGCCCATTCACCCTCTGAATTGGACACATACACAATCCATGTCTCAAGGCTTTAAAATCCTTCTTTAACCCGTCTCCTCCCCTCCATCTACACTGATTGAAGTGGATTTAACTGGTGACATCAATAAGAGCCCATGGATTCACCTGGTCAGTCTATATCATGGAAAGAGCAGGTATGTTTTAAACTCAGTGTAAACAGACCATAAATGTCAACGTGTTTGTTTTCTTGGAAAGCTGTGAGTGCTGTCATATGATACATTATCAGTGCTTGTTGCATTTACAACTTAGTCCTATCATCAACTGATTTCAGCCAGTGTATGACTGTGGATTGACTGCATTGTTTCAATGGAATGTTTGAATATTTTCTGATATACAGTGCCTTCAGAAAGGATTCACACCCATTGACTTTTTCCACATTTTGTTGTGTTACAGCCTGAATTAAAAATATGATTAAATTGACATGTTGTGTCACTGGCCTACACACAATACCCCATAATGTCAAAGTGGAATTACGTTTTCAACATTTTTACAAATTAATGAAAAATGAAAAGCTGAAAGGTCTTAAGTCAATACGTATTCAACCTTTTGTTATGGCAAGCCTAAATAAGTTCAGGAGTAAATTTGGCTTAACAAGTCACACAATAAGTTGCATGCAATAATAGTGTTTAACACTACTGCAGATAGCACTACTGGGTGATCTGAAAAGTCATAGTCAATCGATCAATAATATAATAATACTTTTAGCAAAGATGTTTATTTTCAATTCACAAACTGTAGAAACAATGAGAATAGAAAGGTTCAGAACTTTTGTAAAACATCACAGTACGGTTGAAAAATATATGGCAAATAGAAATCCAATATGGATGGTGTTAAGAGACAGATGGGAGGTGTTGAATGGAGCTGAAGGATGGGACTTTTAACAACTAACAACAACTAATAACAACAAGATAACTAATGTAAAGCATACTGTGTCCATAATAAGCATATAGGTTATATATTGTGAGCTTTTGTGATAATTGCGCCAACAGTTGTTGCCTTCTCACCAAGCTGCTTGCCTATTGTCCTGTAGCCCATCCCAGCCTTGTGCAGGTCTACAATTTTATCCCTGATGTCCTTACACAGCTCTCTGGTCTTGGCCATTGTGGAGAGGTTGGAGTCTGTTTGATTGAGTGTGTGGACAGGTGTCTTTTATACAGGTAACGAGTTCAAACAGGTGCAGTTAATACAGGTAATGAGTGGGGAACAGGAGGGCTTCTTAAAGAAAAACTAACAGGTCTGTGAGAGCCGGAATTCTTACTGGTTGGTAGGTGATCAAATACTAATGTCATGCAATAAAATGCAAATTAATTACTTAAAAATCATACAATGTGATTTTCTGGATTTTTGCAAAATCGGCAGTGTATCAAATATTTGTTCTCCCCACTGTATCACAGGGGGGGACCAGGGGGGACTAACGTAGAGAACTCATGCAGGAGTTCTGGAGCACATTATAGGAGAATTTCAGAACCATCTGAGGAAGCGGTGATCAGGTTTAGCTAGCCGTTTCCCAGACAACCGTAACTGTTTACTGTAGCCTAGGCAACAGGCCCTAATTAAGGAAGTGAACTCTTAAAGTGCAAATGGGAGAAAAAACATTCATGGAGGCATCAGACATGGAGTTTGTACGCGTGAATGTGTGTGCAAGTTGTCAATCCTCCAGCTATTAATAGATTGACCCAGTGTACTGGAAGGCATGCCCGTCTATTCCTAACCCACCTCTGGCCCCTTACCCCTTTAGACCAGGGTTCTTCAATTCCGGTCCTGGAGGGCCGAAACACTTCTGTTTTTTTTTATTTCTACCTGGTAGTTAATTGCACTCACCTGGTGTCCCAGGTCTGAATTAGCCCCTGATTAGAAGGAGAGGATGAAAAACAGAGGTGTTTCGGCCCTCCAGGACCAGAATTGAAGAATCCTGCCTTTGACACTAGGCTACTGTGAATCTGAGAGGATTGGATAGGTATTAACAATGGAACGCTACATTTGACCTCAGCCCCTTACATCTGATATGCTCAGATATGTTACATCATAGCGGCTATATCATCAGTACTCAGTCCTAGTAACAGGTGTTGATGTCTCTAAAAGCTCCTCTGTATAGTTTCCTCCCCTCATTGATTTCCTCTTCAGTGATGGAGGATCATGATTTGTTTGCCGTCGCAAAACATTTTGCTATGATGTGCACCAGTGGTGTAAAGTCCTTAAGTAAAAATACTTTAAAGTAATACTTAAGTAGTTTTTTTGGGGGGTATCTGTACTTTACTATTTATATTTTAGACAACTTTTACTTTTACTTTACTACATTCCTAAAGAAAATTATGTATTTTTTACACCATATATTTCCCTGACACCCAAAAGTACTCGTTACATTTATAACGCTTAGCAGGCCATTCACCCCAACATACACCAATCTACAACCTGCATCAAGCCATTCACCCCAACAGACACCAATCTACAACCTGCATCAAGCCATTCACCCCAACAGACACCCTTCTTAAGACCGACCACCAGACAACATAGTGTTTTTAATAAAACAAATTTATTATTTTCTCCTTATACATACATTATGTCTTGTCTCTGCTGACTGAGTTTCTCTGGTTAAATTAAACAGAAGTTTAATGATATTCAAATCCAAAAAGCAAACAAACAAATCCATTAAACTAAAATCTCTGTCATATTATATGGTGTGTGGTCTGTGTCCCAAATGGCCCCCTATTCCATTTCAACCAGAGCACTATGGAGTCTGGTCCAAAGTAGTGCACTATGTTGGGAAAATGGTCACATTTGAGACAGATCCAGGGTGAGGTCAGGGGTCATTTGGAGGCGGCTTGGCTAAACTCCTTTGATTTTCATCTTCATAAATTTCTGACGAGATGGAGGGGGGAAGAGAGAGGGAGGGCAAACAAAGAAGGAGGGCAATATACGGATGATGGGAGTAAGGCGTGTAAAGACCATACGGGAGTCATTTTTCACATGCAGCTTGTAAACACTCCACAAGATCACTAGCCAGAAACTAACAGAGCCATTTTAAAGCCTATGTCAGATCTCCAGTGAGTTAACCTTGGCTCTAGTGAGTATTGCTCCCGATGAGGCTATGAGCCCAGTGAGTCGAATGGCTCCACTGATGAAGCTCAGTAGCATGGCTCCAGTGAGTGTAATTGGCTCCATGAGTGTAATTGGCTCCAGTGAGTGTAATGGCTCCAGTGAGTTATTGGTCATGACGTGTGATTGGCTCCAGTAGTGTGAATGGCTCCAGTGTAGTGTGATTGCTCCAGTGAGGTATTGGCTCCAGTGAGTTGTAATTGGCTCCAGTGAGTGTGATTGCTCAGTGAGTCTAATTGGCTCCAGTGAGTGTATTGGCTCCAGTGAGTGTAATTGGCTCCAGTGAGTGTAATTGGCTCCAGTGAGTGTGATTGGCTCCAGTGAGTGTAATTGGCTCCAGTGAGTGTAATTGGCTCCAGTGAGTCTAATTGGCTCCAGTGAGTGTAATTGGCTCCAGTGAGTGTGATTGGCTCCAGTGAGTCTATGGAAATGGCTCACAGTGTAGTGGATTGGCTCCAGTGAGTATTGGCTCCAGTGTCATGGCTCCATGAGTGAATTGGCTCCATGGAGTCTAAATGGCCACTACACACAGGAAGCAGGACACACAACAACAGGAGCAAGACACACACACACACAGGAGCAGACAGACCACACAGGAGCAGACACACACACAAGGAGCAGGACACGACACACCAGGAGCATTCGACTACCATACAACACAGAGTCAAACACACAACACACAGTGAGCAACAACCACACAGGAGCAGACACACACCACACAGTGAGCAGACACAACACACACACAGGATGAAGGACAGCACACACCACAGGAGCAGACACACAACACACAGGAGCAGACACACACACACACAGGAGCAGACACACACACACACAGGAGCAGACACACACACACAGGAGCAGACACACACACACAGGAGCAGACAGACACACACCCACAGGAGCATACACACACCACACAGGAGCAGACAACACACACAGGAGCAGACACAGGGACCACATGAGCACACACCACCAGGAGCAGAACCACACACACACAGGAGCAGAAAGACACACAGCCCAGGAGCAGACACACACACACAGGAGCAGCCACACACACACAGGATGCAGACACCACACACAAAGGAGCCAGACACACACACACAGGAGCAGACAGACAAACCACAGGAGTCAGACACACCACACACAGGAGCATGACACACACACACCACACAGGAGCAGGACCACACAAAGCACACACACAGGAGCAGACAGACACACACAGGAGCAGACAGACACACACAGGAGCAGACACACACACACACACAGGAGCAGACAACACACACAGGAGCAGACAGACACACAGAGCAGACAGACACACACACAGGAGCGACAACACACACAGGAGCAGACACACACACAGGCAGACACACACACACACACAGGAGTAGACACACACACACAGGAGCAGACACACACACACACAGGAGCAGACACACACACAGGAGCAGACACACACACACAGGAGCAGACACAACACACACGGAGCAGACACACACACACAGGAGCAGACACACACACACAGGAGCAGACCACACACACACAGGAGCAGACACACACACACACAGGAGCAGACACACACACACAGGAGCAGACAGACACACAGGAGCAGACACACACACACAGGAGCAGACAGACACACACAGGAGCAGACACACACACACAGGAGTAGACACACACACACAGGAGCAGACACACACACACACACAGGAGAGACACCACCCACACAGGAGCAGACACAACACCACACACAGGAGCAGACACACACCCAGGAGCAGACAACACCACAAGGAGCAACACACACACAGGAGCACACACACACACAGGAGCAGACACAACCACAGAGACAACACAGGAGCAGACACACACACACACAGGAGCAGGACAACACACACACACAGGAGAGACACACACACAGAGCGACAGACACACACACACAGGAAGCAGACACACACCACACACAGGAGCAGACACACACACACAGGAGCAGACACCACAACACAGGAGCAGACACACACACACGGAGCAGACACACACAGGAGCAGACACACACACACACACAGGATCAGACACACACACACAGGAGCAGACACACACACACACACAGGAGCAGACACACACACACAGGAGCAGACACACACACACACAGGAGCAGACAACACACAGCGACACACACACAGGAGCAGACACACACACACACAGGAGCAGACACACACACACAGGAGCAGACACACACACACACAGGACAACACACACACACAGGAGAGACAACACACAAGGAGCAGACACACACACACACGGACAGACACACACACACAGGAGCAGACACACACCACAGGAGCAGACAACACACACACACCACAGGATCAGACCACACCCCACACAGGATGCAACAGACACACACACAGGAGCAGACACTACAACACAGGAGCAGACACAACACACAGGAGCAGGACTCCTAACAGAGCAGACACAACACACAGGAGCAGCAAAACACACACACAGGAGCAGACAACACACAAAGGAGCAGACAAACACACAAGGCAGACAACCCAGCACCACAAAAGGACAGACACAACAACACTAGACAGACACACACAAACACAGGAGCAGACACACAACAACACAAAGAGCAGACACACACACACAGGAGCAGACACACCACAGGAGCAGAAAACCCACACACAGGAGCAGACCACCACACACCAGAGCAGTCTAACAACACAGACACGCACAAACATCACCCTGCCACACACACAAAAGTCACCTGTTCAACAACACACACAGACCTCACACCACAGACCTTTCTAACAGACCCACACACGTCACGACTCGTTCTCAACAACACAGTCCCCTCTGTTCTAACGACCCACAGTCACTCTGTTCTAACAGACACACAGTCACATCTGTTCTAACAGACACACAACAGTCACTCTGTTCTAACAGACACACAGTCACTCTGTTCTAACAGACACCCCAGTCACTCTGTTCTAACAGACACAGTCACTCTGTTCTAACAGACACCACAGTCACTCTGTTCTAACAGACACACACAGTCACTCTGTTCTAACGACACACACAGTCACTCTGTTCACACACAGTCACCGTCGACACACACAGTCACTCTGTTCTACAGACACACAGTCATCTGGTTCTAACAGACACACATCACTCTGTTCTAACATACACACAGTCACTCTGTTCTAAACAACACAGGCACTCTGTTCTAACATCACACAGTCACTCTGTTCTAACAGACACAGTCACTCTGTTCTAAACAGACACACAGTCACTCTGTTCTAACAGACACACAGTCACTCTGTTCTAACAGACACACAGTCACTCTTTTAACAGACACACAGTCACTCTGTTTCTAACAGACACACACAGTCACTATGTTCTAACAGACCACAGTCACTCTGTTCAACACACACAGTCACTCTGTTCTAACAGACACACAGTCACTCTGTTCTAACAGACACACAGTCACTCTGTTCTAACAGAAAACCAGTCACTCTGTTCTAACAGACACACAGTCACCTGTTCTAACAGACAACAGTCACTCTGTTCTAACAGACACACAGTCACTCTGTTCTAACAGACACACAGTCACTCTGTTCTAAGACACACACAGTCACTCTGTTCTAACAGACACAACAGTCACTCTGTTCTAACAGACACACAGTCACTCTGTTCTAACAGACCACACATAGTCACTCTGTTCTAACATACACAGTCACTCTGTTCTAACAGACACAGTCACTCTGTTCTAACAGACACACAGTCACTCTGTTCTAACATACACACAGTCACTCTGTTCTAACAGACACAGTCACTCTGTTCTAACAGACACACACAGTCACTCTGTTCTAACAGACACACAGTCACTCTGTTCTAACAGACACACACAGTCACTCTGTTCTAACAGACACACACAGTCACTCTGTTCTAACAGACACAGAGTCACTCTGTTCTAACAGACAGTCACTCTGTTCTAACAGACACACAGTCACTCTGTTCTAACAGACACACACGGTCACTCTGTTCTAAGACACACACAGTCACTCTGTTCTAACAGACACACATTCACTCTGTTCTTACAGACACACTCACTCTGTTCTAACAGACATACAGTCACTCTGTTCTAACAGACACACATAGTCACTATGTTCTAACATACAGTCACTCTGTTCTAACAGACACAGTCACTCTGTTCTAACAGACACAGTCACTCTGTTCTAACAGACACAGTCACTCTGTTCTAACAGACACAGTCACTCTGTTCTAACAGACACAAAGTCACTCTGTTCTAACAGACACAAAGTCACTCTGTTCTAACAGACACACAGTCACTCTGTTCTAACAGACACACAGTCACTCTGTTCTAACAGACACATAGTCACTCTGTTCTAACAGACATACAGTCACTCTGTCCTAACAGACACACAGTCACTCTGTTCTAACAGACACAGTCACTCTGTTCCGACACACACAGTCACTCTGTTCCGACACACACACAGTCACTCTGTTCTAACAGACACACAGTCACTCTGTTCTAACAGACATACAGTCACTCTGTTCTAACAGACACCAGTCACTCTGTTCTAACAGACCACATCACTCTGTTCTAACAGACACACAGTCACTCTGTTCTAACAGACACACACAGTCACTCTGTTCTAAGACACACACAGTCACTCTGTTCTAACAGACACACAGTCACTCTGTTCTAACAGACACACACAGTCACTCTGTTCTAACAGACACACAGTCACTCTGTTCTTACAGACACACTCACTCTGTTCTAACAGACACACAGTCACTCTGTTCTAACAGACACACATAGTCACTCTGTTCTAACATACACAGTCACTCTGTTCTAACAGACACAGTCACTCTGTTCTAACAGACACAGTCACTCTGTTCTAACAGACACACAGTCACTCTGTTCTAACAGACACACAGTCACTCTGTTCTAACAGACACAGTCACTCTGTTCTAACAGACACACACAGTCACTCTGTTCTAACAGACACACAGTCACTCTGTTCTAACAGACACACACAGTCACTCTGTTCTAACAGACACACACAGTCACTCTGTTCTAACAGACACAGAGTCACTCTGTTCTAACAGACAGTCACTCTGTTCTAACAGACACACAGTCACTCTGTTCTAACAGACACACACGGTCACTCTGTTCTAAGACACACACAGTCACTCTGTTCTAACAGACACACATTCACTCTGTTCTTACAGACACACTCACTCTGTTCTAACAGACATACAGTCACTCTGTTCTAACAGACACACATAGTCACTATGTTCTAACATACAGTCACTCTGTTCTAACAGACACAGTCACTCTGTTCTAACAGACACAAAGTCACTCTGTTCTAACAGACACACAGTCACTCTGTTCTAACAGACACACAGTCACTCTGTTCTAACAGACACATAGTCACTCTGTTCTAACAGACATACAGTCACTCTGTCCTAACAGACACACAGTCACTCTGTTCTAACAGACACAGTCACTCTGTTCCGACACACACAGTCACTCTGTTCTGACACACACACAGTCACTCTGTTCTAACAGACACACAGTCACTCTGTTCTAACAGACATACAGTCACTCTGTTCTAACAGACACACAGTCACTCTGTTCTAACAGACACAGTCACTCTGTTCTAACAGACACACAGTCACTCTGTTCTAACAGACACACACAGTCACTCTGTTCTAAGACACACACAGTCACTCTGTTCTAACAGACACACAGTCACTCTGTTCTAACAGACACACACAGTCACTCTGTTCTAAGACACACACAGTCACTCTGTTCTAACAGACACACAGTCACTCTGTTCTTACAGACACACTCACTCTGTTCTAACAGACACACAGTCACTCTGTTCTAACAGACACACATAGTCACTCTGTTCTAACATACACAGTCACTCTGTTCTAACAGACACAGTCACTCTGTTCTAACAGACACAGTCACTCTGTTCTAACAGACACACAGTCACTCTGTTCTAACAGACACACAGTCACTCTGTTCTAACAGACACAGTCACTCTGTTCTAACAGACACAGTCACTCTGTTCTAACAGACACACCGTCACTCTGTTCTAACAGACACACAGTCACTCTGTTCTAACAGACACAGTCACTCTGTTTTAACAGACACACAGTCACTCTGTTCTAACAGACACACATTCACTCTGTTCTAACAGACACAGTCACTCTGTTCTAACAGACACACAGTCACTCTGTTCTAACAGACACACATTCACTCTGTTCTAACAGACACAGTCACTCTGTTCTAACAGACACACAGTCACTCTGTTCTAACAGACACCTGTACCTGTGTTGTCAGTGTGCTGGGTCTGTGCTGGTTCAGGAAACGTCTGGGGCTGCTCTTCCTCCATCTCATCATCACCTCCAGCCTCATCCAGGATGACCAGAGTCTGATAGGAGAGAGGTTGAAGGATGTGGATGTAGTGCATGTTTGTGTGAGAGAGAGAGAGAGAGAGAGAGGGAGAGAGAGAGTGAGTGAGAGAGATAGATAGATCGAGATCCAAGCAGACAAAAAGAAAGCAGTAGATGTTTCCTGACCTCTGGGTTGAAGGAGTTTCCTGATTCGTCCTCCTGGCTGAAGGGGTGTGCCTCCGGGCTAGGCCCCTCCCCTCCTTCCTCGCCAACGATCTCATCCAGAGTGACCAATGCTTGAAGGTCTGCCTCAGTTATTCCGCTCTCCCGATCCCTCGCTCCCTCCTCTCCTCCCTCATCCCCCTCTCCTCCAATTTCGTCCAGAGTCACCAACCCTTCCGTATCCGCACCGACCCTCTCCCTCCCCCTCTCCCTCTCCCTCCACCTCTCCTTGCTCCTCTCCCGCTCTCTACTCCTCCTTCTCTCCTTCCCTCTCTCCTTCTCCCGTTCCCTCTCTCGCTGTTTCTCCTTCACTAGTTTCTGTTTCTTCATCAGCTCTTCCTCTTCGGCAGCGTCGTCAGGGTAATTCTCCTCTTCCTCACTCACCTCATCCAAGGTGACAAGGTTAGTCTTTTTGTGGGTACCCCACTCTGTCTCCACTGTGGGGGTCTGTACCTTTTCATGGGTTTGGGGTATCTTCTTACCATCCTTCTTTTGAAGTGTCATATTACCCTTACCCGTTTTGTAACCCTCTTTTTGGGGTTTTGAGGTACCCTTAGATTCAGTAGTATGGTTGTCCAGAGCTTCCTTCGTATCCATCTCTCTGGGTAGAGAATCTCTTCGGTCTTCAGTGTCTTCTACAGAGTCCAGTATGTGGAAAGCAGATTCTTCTTCGTCTTCGGATATGTCTTGGCGTTCCTCTAGAGTAGTTTGGAGCTCCTGGGAACCCGTAGATTCGGAGGCTGCAGTCGCCTGGTAACCCAGAGATAGAGATCCAGACTGTTCTTGAGTGTCTTGGCTGTACTCTTCTCTGTCATCCACGGTTTCGTCGAGTATCTGGAAACCGCCATTTTCTTCTTCGGGTACTTTGTCAACAAGTGATTGGGGCACCTGGTGACCGGACACTGTCTCCCCCTCTTGTAGTTCTAGGGTCTTATGAAGGTCTTGCTCCTTGGCTGGGGCAGACGGAGCAGTCCGAACAAGCTCCAGTGGACAGGCTCCATTCTGAGCCTCGGTACCCAGAATTGAGGCACCTTTTTCAGCCTGGGCCTTCTCCTCGCTCCCGTCTACCTCTGGAGGTTTTTCAGCTGTAGTCTCCATATCGCTCTCTGACCCAGCACTTTCCCCTTCCTTGTTCGCTGGCACTGCAATTTCCAACACTGACACCTTGTGGCCAGATGACGGTAATGCACCCTCTGTGTCACTTCCCTTTGTGACCACTACTTTCTCTACCGACTGAGCAGCGGATGCTTCGGCCATTGGCTGAGACAGAAGCTCCACGGGAACAGGCTCCGCCTCCACCTCGACTGTGGCGTCATCGTTGCCGACAGTTTCCTGGGTTTCTGCGGCTTCGGTTGCTACAACAGCAGAAGCGGCTGATGACCTGGTCTTGCGTCCAGAGGTGGCAGTTGGTTGAGGTTTCGCCGCATGCGTTATTTTGGCGGCTGCTGCGTCTTTTCGTGGAGTCTTCTGGCCAGGGGGGGTAGAGGTAGAAGAGGAGGGGGTGGGAGTGCTTTTGGATGGAGGTGTCTCTTTCTCCTGCTCCCGGCTACATTTCCTAGTAGAAGTTGGGGTATCTGGGGTACCCCTCTTGCGTTTGGACGATCGTTCCGACCTTTCCGAGGCCCTACCTTGGGTCTTGTGTGATGGAGATGATGGCTCTGGTGGGATGGTGTTGTCAGCCTCGTCCCCTTCCACCTCGTCCACGGTGACAAACTCATCCGTGTTGAACTGGTCCAGGTCGAAGGGGTTGGCTTCACCTGGGACGACGTCAGACGTGAACTCATCCGCCACGTAGCCGGTACCCTGTGGTATGAGAGGATGGTGAATCCATTGAATTAATCAATCGATCGTTATTCCGCCAAGTTCAACAGAAGTGCTGTAGTTTGAATCAGATGTATGTAAGAGAGCAATGCGTAAATGAAAACCAAATCCAACAGCTTGCTACAACAGATTGCAGTCGTTTGGACTCTGTACATTACTATTTGAATGGTGTATTTTTATAAATCTTATGCTCACCTTTCTCTCTGGAGCGTCCTTATATCTAGACTCACTCCTAGAGGACTGGTTCGTTTTACTGCTGTGGCTCTGTGGGACAAACAGAAACATTACATCTCAGCAATAGAAAGAAATCATGTCAACACCTCATTTAGACTTTTAACAATACCTGCACTTAAGGATATAATCTGAATATAAAAAATACATCCACCATCACTCCTGATTTCTCCTTCTCCTACTTTGTTCCTCTCTGCTCCTCCCCCTACCCTCCTCCTCTTACTTTGTTCCTCTCTGCTCCTCCCCCTACCCTCCTTCTCCTACTTTGTTCCTCTCTGCTCCTCCCCCTACCCTCCTTCTCCTACTTTGTTCCTCTCTGCTCCTCCCCCTACCCTCCTTCTCCTACTTTGTTCCTCTCTGCTCCTCCCCCTACCCTCCTTCTCCTACTTTGTTCCTCTCTGCTCCTCCCCCTACCCTCCTCCTCTTACTTTGCGCCTCCCCTCCTCCCCTCTCCTCCCCTTCTTCTTGGCGGGGCTGCCGTCCCGTCTGCTGTTCCTGCGGAAGCCAGAAGAGGAGCTAGAGGAGTTGCCGTGTCTCGACGTCGGAGGACCCTGCTCTTCCTCGGAGGCCGCCCGCCTGCTTCTATGCCTGGAAGAGTCTATCCTTTCTGGGGAAGAATGGTCCCCGCGCCGGCCTCTTCCTCCATAGCCTTCGGACTTCCCCTGGTTCTTCTCTGGTTGTCCAGAGCCTGAAGGTGGTTTCTTTGCTCCTTCTGTCTGTGTTGTGGTCTTCTTAGCTGGTGTGGTTGGAGGCTTTTTATCTGTCTGTGACTTCACAGGTTGTGGCTTTTTTTTCTTGTCGAAAACCGCAGGTCTATTTTTCTCCTCTTTTTGAGTCTGCGTTGGCGTCACGGTCTTCTTCTCTGGTTGAGCTGGGGCCTGGTTCAGTTCTCCAGCCGGGGTCTTGGTCTCCCCCTTCTCCCCAGCTACGGGGCTCTTCTTGTCGGATAGAGGCTTGGCCTGGCACCCCTCTCCCTGGTCCTGTGTCTGGTTCTGTCCTTGTTCCTCAGCTAGTCTCTCCATGCGGTGTTGGTGCACTGCTGCCTCCAGGGCCTTGAGGATCTCCTGAGTTACCGTTGGGAAGTCTAACGGTTTGTCTTCACCTTTTACCGACACCGGGAGAGCTACGGGGACAGAGGCTGAAGTTACCGGTGTTTGTGCTGGTACAGAAGCAGCAACACTGTCAGAGTCGACGGGATTGATGACATCATTAACGTCAACATTGTTGGTAACAGCGTGATTGGTAGCGGTTGCTATGGTTTCTCCATTCTTGCAATCCCGTTTAGCGGCTATGACAGCAACGTTTTGGCTTTGGCCGTTGTTGGTTGTCATCGGGTCAACAGGTTCCATGTTGACTTGACTTGGTTCTGTTGCGGTCACGGTCATCATGGTTTCATTGACCGCTGTAATGACACCACTACCCTGTTGTGTGACCTCAGTTAGAACTGGTTTGGGTTCAGCTGTGATCTCGTTGGTCGAGACGACGCCGTTGCTGCTCTGGGTTTCCATGGCGACCTCTTCCTCGGGAGAGGACATGGTAACCGTAGGTTCCTTGTTTTCGTTCGCACCTTTAGCTACAGGCTTCTTGCCTTCGACCGCCTTCTTCTTGGCTTTGGTGCTGAAATGACACAAATAGGCATAAATTAAAGTAAGTGACGTTGACATGCACACCAAGTCTATCAGTCTAAATGTAGGAGTACAACATAATGGCCAGGAGTTGTTCCCTGAACAGGAAAAACTCTGGGCCCTAGTTGTATCCAACAGGGACATATGTAGACGGCTAGTAGAGGGCTTCACGGGTCCAAAAAGGACCTGGGGCTTTCCCATCAGGACCTGGGGCTTTCCCATCAGGACCTGGGGTATCATGAAAATATATATATAAAGTCCCGTTCTGAACGGACCCGAGGACAACTAGACACGCTCCATATAGACCTGATGGGATCCAGACCCAGTCTGATCCAATCCCAGTGAGGGAAACAGCAGAAAAGTCCATTTTTAATCTACTTTATGAACCGGAGCTGATAAAGCACGAGGGAGAGGAGGTAGAGAGAGAGAGGAGGGAGAGGAGAGAGGAGGGGGAGGGGGAGGAGAGAGAGGAGGAGAGAGGGAGTTGTGAGAGGGAAGGGAGAGGAGGGAGAGAGAGAGGTGAGAGAGAAGGGAGAGGAGGGAGAGAGAGAGGAGAGAGAGAAGGGAGAGGAGGGAGAGGAGGGAGAGAGAGAGGAGAGGAGGGAGAGAGAGAGGTGAGAGAGAAAGGGAGAGGAGGGAGAGGAGGAGAGAGAGAGGAGAGGAGGGGAGGAGAGAGGTGAGAGAGAGGGAAGAGGAGGGAGAGAGAGAGAGATAGAGAGCGGCGAGAGAGGAGAGAGAGGAGGGGAGGGGAGGAGGAGCTTAGAGAGATGTAACACTCTAGCAAGGGGCCGTGCTGTGTGTGTAGGCTACTGAGTGTGAGCGAGTGACACAGGGAACAGGGAGGGAGAGACGCAACCAACCAAGCAGACTCGCGCTATAGTAGACTAATAGCTGCCATAGCTAGGTTATTTATTATCTAATATGATTACGCAGAACCGGTCTTGACAGCATCAAACCGGGAGAAGCTAAATAAGCTATCTAGCTAGGCTAATTGAGGCTGCATGGGCTTTCTTTCTCGTCCTACACAGTTACAAACAACAACTCCATTCAGAATATAACGTAGCAGCCTACCTGTTGGCTTTTGGTCATGGTAACCTATCCCTCTCCTTTAACTTTTAACTCCATCTTCCATTGATTAGATATGCCCTAACTGAGGCTCTATGACTGGCAACAGCGCTGGTGGACCAATTGTAAGCTCCCTCAAAACATCTGTGGCATTGTGTTGTGTGACAAAACTGCACATTTTTTTTTAAAAAAGTGGCCTTTTAATTGTCCCCAGCACAAGGTGCACCTGTGTAATGATCATGCTGTTTTATCAGCTTCTTGATATGCCACACCTGTCAATCCATCCACCTATCTTGGCAAAGGAGAAATGCTCTAACAGGGATGTACACAAAATTGTGCACAACATTTGTGAGAAATAATATTTTGGGCGTAAAGAACATTTCTGGGATCTTTTCTTTCAGCTCATGAAACATGGGGCCAACACTTTACATGTTGTTTATATTTTTATTCAGTATATATATATATATAAACATATTTTTTTTTTTCATAAACATTAATTATCCAAACCACAATCTAGCACATTTTCATTTTACCGGTAGAATCGTGAAGTTTCAACTTCCTGTGTATTCGTCTGCTCATAGTGAACCACAAAGTCTGGCATTCCTAGCGAATGCAGATACCACCCGTTAAGGTACAGTGCATTCTGAAAGTACTTTCCCACATTTTGTTACATTACAGCCTTATTCTAAAATGGATTCAATTGCTTTTTCCCCTCCTCATCAATCTACACACAATACCTCATAATGACAAAGCAAAAACAGGTTCAGAAATGTTTGCAAATGTATAAAAATAAAAAAAACAGTTACCTTATTTACATAAGTATTTAGACCCTTTGCTATGAGACTCGAAAATGAGCTCAGGTGCATCCTGTCTCAAGAAAGGGGAGCCATTGAAAGGAGTGATGACTGGGGTAGCAGTAAATGTAAAAGTGGACCAACTGAAGGGGAAGATTCCCAGTGTTTGTGATGCTCGTCATTTGGTGCGACACAAACAGGGTGGCGAGAGTGGGGAAACAGAAGAGTCATTGTCTGTTCTTTTGAGTTTTTGAAGTTGAGTCTTTGCCTGACAAAGTGAAGTTAGGATATTTACATTTTAGTCATTTAGCAGACGCTCTTATCCAGAGCGACTTACAGTTAGTGAGTGCATACATTTTCATACTGGCCCCCCTGGCCCCCCGTGGGAATCGAACCCACAATCCTGCCGTTGCAAGCGCCATGCTCTACCAACTGAGCTACACGGGGATATACGTTATCCTGTACAAGCTTATGTGTCAAAAACATTACGATGTTACAGGTGTCAAACTTATGGGCATGTGGCAGCAAGGTGTGAGAAGTGTGCAGAAGGGCATGAGACAAAGGAATGTGTAGCATTGGAGTAAGTAGTGGTATGTGCTAATTGTAGGGGTGCCCATGGGGCTTGGGGATCAGAAATGTCCCGTGCCAGAGAGGCAGGTTGAGGTTTCCAGGGTTAGAGTAGTGCAGAAGTTGTCATATGCTGAGGCAGGGAAGAAAGTAGAGGAAGATGGGTCAAGGAGGAGGAGTGGTGTGAGTAGTAAGATTGGGTTTTTAGCATTTATACCAATGGTTATTAATTGTACTGCAGGGATAGAACGTAAGTCGAAGAAAATTGAGGTTGCGGTGGCAGCTGCAGAGGTATTTGGGTGTGCGAGACTTGACATCAGAAGAGTTACAGGGAGTGTTAAGTGGTGATGTTCCATCATTTCAGGTTGAGGGCATGAGGTAGGAATTAATATATTTAAATAGCGGAGTAGTGTGGTGTTAATTATTAATAATATTTTTTGAATTTGTGAGTGTAGTGTTAGATGGTAGGGTATTTATTTTATTTTTCAAGCGAATATATAAGGGAGTTGTACTCCAGTCCACTGGTGGCGGTAATGCAACAAAATTGGATGCCAACCCGCCGTTAAACATAATCGAAGAAGAAGGTGCATCCAGTTTCCATTGATCATTCTTGAAGGGGTCGGGATACATTGTAGATGGGGCATGCTCACAACTTGGACGACCACCACACAGCAATCTAACAACTTCTGTAAGCAATACTTTTTTTTGGGGGGGGACAATGTTTTTCCACTTACGATTGTCATCATGCCTGTGCTAATTACAAACAAGAGCGAAAATGTGTTATCTTTAACATTTCTACCTACCAGAGATTTACCCCATCAAGAATGATGCGCCTTCTGGTGACCAAAGACTATCAGATTTTCAGGCTGGGCTGATGGGGAATCCATTTCGACGACAGCTGAGAAGTGATCCGATCCGAGACAAATCATATAGCCATCTTTTTTTGGTATACACACTGTCAATCAATGCATGCCATCACACGAGTCACTGCTAGATTGGTAACTACCTTCAGCAGGATAAACATGTTTGTTCGTTCTATCTTTGATTGACTTTAGCTAACGTAAGCTAGCTAATGTTAGCAAATAAGTGTAGTGCAAATCGGCTAGCAATCTACTCATTTTTACGTTTTTAGTCATTTAGCAGACGCTCTTATCCAGAGCGATTTACAGGAGCAATTAGGGTTAAGTGCCTTGCTCAAGGGCACATCGACAGATTTTTCAACCTAGTCGGCTCGGGGATTAGAACCAGCGACCTTTCGGTTACTGGCACAACGCTCTTAACCACAAAACTACCTACCGCTACTCCACCCTTGTCTGGAAAGCACTCCGTTACTAAAAAATCAAATTGTCAATATAGCTAACTCACTCTGTGTTGGTAACATTAGCAATGATGAATGTGCATAAATAGCCTATGGTTGGTGAGTTGGTTCTCAGCTGGATAGTAATCGTACTGCCAATTTAGTGACGCTAGCTGACAGCAAACTGACAATATTGAAATGTCCATGTATGGTAAACTAACCAGTCTAATAGAGATCTATACAATTAGTGGGGTGGGTAAATTGTGTATTTTGTTGTACAGAATCTGATTCCACCAACATGCTCTTCTAATCCCTAGCTCTGCAAAAGGTGAAGGTAATACATGTACTGTCTAAACCAGTGTTTCCCAAACTCAAAGGTGAAGGTAATACATGTACTGTCTAAACCAGTGTTTCCAAACTCAAGTGAAGGTATACCTAACCTCCCAAACTCAAAGGTGAAGGTAATACATGTACTGTCTAAACCAGTGTTTCCCAAACTCAAAGGTGAAGGTAATACATGTACTGTCTAAACCAGTGTTTCCCAAACTCAAAGGTGAAGGTAATACATGTACTGTCTAAACCAGTGTTTCCCAAACTCAAAGGTGAAGGTAATACATGTACTGTCTAAACCAGTGTTTCCCAAACTCAAAGGTGAAGGTAATACATGTACTGTCTAAACCAGTGTTTCCCAAACTCAAAGGTGAAGGTAATACATGTACTGTCTAAACCAGTGTTTCCCAAACTCAAAGGTGAAGGTAATACATGTACTGTCTAAACCAGTGTTTCCCAAACTCAAAGGTGTGCACGTTTCGGTTTTGGCGGGATTAGACATTATGCTTCAAGCAGATAACTCCTGAGGGGCTGAATGGGGTCACAGTTTATTTCACATGTTTTTTGTTTCAAATGGCGGTAGTTTACCAGGATTTTTTTGTTGTGGCTTGTCTAACTAGCTCGCTACCAGATGTTTTAAAAACAGCTATATTTCAAACGAGATGACAGCATGCATGAATGGTTTTAGCTTCAAATATTTTTATTTTGGAGATTTAAAAATATTAACTTGTTCTAAACCATGATTAAAATATTGACATTGTACGTCGACAAATTAATTTTAATGTGCAACTGTCGATGCATAACGTTACTAGGCTACTTTTTTTTTAAACGGATTAATTAATCAAATTAAATGTCCAGGTTGAACGCCCATATGTAACGTTAGCCTAGCTCGGCCATAGCCTTTCTCTGTTCTGCTAGCCTACTGCTTACTTGTGGTAA